GACCCACATTCACAAGCACACATACATATTACACATGCTTCACATGCATATGTGCATCACCCACATGCACATATCACACGAATACACACATACCATCGCATGCACACAGTTACCAACGGCCACAGGCTAGTATGACACGCATACACACCTTGTGCACATATGCATAGTCATGCATGTACTGGTACACATACACTAGTCACCTGTTCAAAGTACATGTGCACAGACTCCTGTATATGTGTACCTACACACCAGACAGACATCACACCGTGCTCCCATGGTGCATTTTCCCACGGAAGGACAATCCCAGCCCAGCACGGGCCGCCACCTTCCCAAGGTCTTGATAATCAAGTCTCTCCCCTCAGCAATGCCATCAAGAAAGGAGTCAGGATTGAAATATCACTGCGTCATTACTATTGGATGCTGAGCACAGGAAAGAAAAGCAATCCAGTTAGGTCTTCGCGTCTGTAGTAAACGATCTGGCTCTTTGACAGGAGTTTAGTATGGCAGACATACGCGATTAAGGCTTCGTGCCGGTGACAGATTAGAAGCAGACACTGATCTGGCTCTTCCACGGCTCCTTAGCATTTGTAGAAGTGCAATGTGACTTTGTAAATCAAGTGGAAAGGCCAGAGTCCGAGGCGTGGCAGCATTTATGAGGGTCACAGCACACTGGAAATCTCAGCCATGGCTGTCAACTTTCTTTACTTGTTCCCAGGAACCCCAGGTGGGAACAGTATTGACACCTCAGTGACCCCTTACGTGGGGGTCACAGCTTCTCTGTGGCTGGCTCTCACTGGTCCTGACACTGCCCTCTGGGGACAGGAGCATGGCAGCTGATAGACAGCAAGTCATCCAGCTGCATTTTGTACTAGAAAACCCAAGATGCTTAACGCCTTGCAGCCTCTGGGAGCCACGAAGAACCATTGCAACGCCTGACCACAAGTAGTAGAAGGGGTTGGTGGATTCGAGGCTGCAGAGCCTGGTATCCACCTGGGCTCTCCCTCACACCCGTGGGTTTTCATGGGCAGATGGCGCCCTGGGCTCCGGGCCCTTCTGATGGGCGTGGGTACTGGCCTCGTCTTCAGCATAGCTGCAGAGTTCCTCCACCCCGGATGAGAGTCCAGCTCGAATCGCTCCCACGGAGCACCTTGAAGAAGATGCGGTGCTTGCTGCCTTTGGAACCGGGTGGCTGAGCTCACCCGTGCACAGTGGTACGAGCTACCTCTAGTGACGTCATCTCCTTATCCCACAGGGGCGCCCCCTAACTGCTGTGGGCCGTGGAGCCACACACACTAGAACTACTCAGGAAGGGAAGGAGGTGCAACCCCCCCTCTGGGGGGCTGCGGGTAGGGGGTGGGCGGTGGATCTGCTCACAGGTGATTTTTCACGAGATCTTTTCCACCAGATGAGGAGAGCCGTGCTGATTGAGGGGGCATTTCAACCGACTCTCCCTCCTTGCGTAACTCCGCTCGTCTTCAGCAATACAGCGATTAGTGATTTAATGTGGCTGAGCTAACACCGTGTGGGAAGAAGAAAGGAAACAGCCCACCACCTGTCAGCTGAACGATGGAAGCTCGTCCATACTCTGGAATACCTGCTTGAAGGGAAAGTTAGACGGCGCTGAAAGTGCATGGTGATATCAGGAATACAGAAAGGACTGACAGAGGAGAGACCGATGGGTGGATAGCAGACACGGCTAGAGACTTCGGGAAGAAAGCCACAAGCTCGTGGGAGCTAGAAAGGGGACGTCAGACTTCTTTATGCATCCTCTGTATTATTTTGGTAGAAAAAAAAGCACCACTTACACAACACGTTATGCAATGCAAGAAGTTATTTAAGAAGGCCGAGATACAAGTTTCAAAATCTGTTCAGACCAGTTAAAAAAAAAAAAACAGTCACCATGTGTTTATTTAGTAAACATTGCCGAGAGCCTGGCGCGGAGTCTGAGAGTCTAAAATATCTCACCAAAGGAAGCACAGTTTCTCCAGTCCTTCAGCCCAGCGTGTGGGACAAGCGGTGGGCCATAACGGCACTAAAAATTTAGCAAGCTGCTCCACATTCTGGAAGGTGCCGCAAGAAGCAAAGGCTGTGAAGGTGAGACCCAGTGCCCCGACTTTGCACCGAGCAGGTGCAGAGGAGGCAGCAGGGGGAGGTGGTGAGCCCAGTGGAGGAATCCAGAGATAGATAAGAAAGGCCGGGATAGTTAAAGGACTACTTACTGGCTGCAGTGTTAGGAGCAGACCACAAGGGGGCAGCTGACAGCAAGGAGGCCTGCAGAGCAGGTCCAAGATGGATCTCTGCGGGGACCACACAGGCAGAGATGCCCAGCTCAGTTCGTGGCAGGCCTACTCAAGTGCTGCAGTTAATGCATAGTAACACTCAACGAAGCCTCACCCTATAAACAGAGGTTAGCGGCGAGAAGCCTCCCTGCAGAGAGCACCGTGTCAGCCTACGGACTCTGGTCCACTGTGCGCAGCGCACACGCGCACTTATTCAGCCAAGTGGAGCTGCAGTGCGTCCAGTCACCACGGTTCTTCCGGGGGTGTCCCCAACCACTTCTTCACGTCAAAGCTCTGGACAGGCTCGTTTCAAGCCTTTCAGCCACAATGTCAAACTGACTTCTTCCAGTCTCCACTGTACCCCACCAGCCACGTAGGGAGACCACGGGTTTCTTCATACTCACTGACCGTTGGGGCATCGTTACTCCTTCCTACGTCTGCCCATCTGGTTGGAAGGAAAAGCTTTCCTTGTTTCATAAAGGGTAACATTGTGGCGGGGGTGGGGTGGGGAGACGCATAGTGACAGGTATTAATTAGCACACAAGAGTAAACTGCTTAATGCCATGCACCCAGCAGGGAACACCTAAAAGTGAAATCGGGAAAGCAATTTACAGTGCTATAAGAATGAAGAGCGCACTCAGCAACAAGTTTAACACAGGCACAAGACTTCCCGGTAACCGTGAGGCATGGCTGAATAAAACTTGAAATCGGACCTGATTGTGTGGGAAAGGACTCGTATTTGTGCTCCAGGAACACTCAATCCGAGGTTGCGTTTCCCACTGGTTGACAAATTGTGGACATTACCCAACCAAGAAAAAAACAAAACAAAACAAAACAAAAACCTATGCTGTCTTCTTTGTAGAAACTGGCAAAGTGACCCATAAAATCTTGTAGAAACGTGAGGGGCACAGAGCAGGGGACAATGATGAGAACCGGCTCATGGGTCCAGACTTCGGAACCCACCCCAAAGCAAGTCACTGGCGCGGCTGTGGCCTGGAACACGGACTCATACGACAGAAAGCAGAAGCCGTTCTCTGCATCGGCTGATTCTCCCCCCAGGGTCCCAAACGGCTGGATGGGAAGGGAACTACTCCCAGCACGTGATTGTGGGACAGGGGGTGGGGGTGGGGGTGGGGGGGATACACGTCTGCAGAAGAATAAAAGGGACCCAGGCGGATCAAGGTCAGAGCCCAGCCAGAGTGACTGAAGAACTCCAGGGTGTGAGTTAAAACTACAAACGCTCGTTAAGTCTGTGGTACAATCAGGCATCAATTTTTCGGTTATAACACCCCCCCAAAAAAGCACAGTGACCAGAGGAAAAAAATAGATGTAGTGAAACAAAAAAATAGTAAAAGGTGTAGCTGAGCCTAGCCTTATGGGCCTATGATCCAGGTAACACAATGGAGGCTAGCCTGGCCTACATAGTAAGTTAGAAAGGGCTGCGTAGTGAGACCCTGTCTCAGAGCTGAACAAAACAAGCAAAAACAGGTAAGTAAAAACAGAAACCTACAGACTGGATGGGGAATAAAATCTGGGAATCCTGCGTCTAAGGATTTTACAGATGGTGTCTGGTAAGGAAGTCCCTGGTCTTGGTTACTAACGAGGTCACTAATTCAGAGAAGGCAGAGTGCCTGGGTGACCCTTTCTGCAGGAAAAAGATGCCTAGCCGCCTCTTGCCTCAGAAACGCTGCTAGCTGGGCACACCTTCAAGCAGCGGGTGCGGCTGGCACCTTCCCACCCCTGCTTCTAGGAGGCAAAGGTGAGCCTTGGGGAAAACAGCCTGGCGTGCCTTCAAAACCTTAAGCACAGTAGCCACCTGTGTGTGATTCACCGATTCCTGCCTTCAGTGGACACTCAAAAGTGAGAGGAAACTGTTCCCACCCAACCTGTATTCAGAAATGAGGTGCCAACCTGTATGCAGAAATGAGGCGCGATTTTCTTCCTAACCAACACTGGAGAAACACGGGGGCTACAGCCACATGATAACGTACGATTCGGACAGAAATTAAAAAAGGAGGCTCCGGTGGTGCTAAATGAGCACATCCGGAAGTCTATGAACAGTAAAAGACCCGGATAGCAAGATTCCACTGAAAACAGTGTCCACTGGAGGACGGGGGGTGTGGAGGTGGCGCTGGGGGGGGGAAGGTCTGAGCATGTGTGAGAAGGAGGTGGGGGCGACTGATCATGTGTGCGTGCCGCTTCTTTCTGGAATCCAGACGGTGTTCCTGACGTGACCACCATGGTGAGAGCTGCACAACTCAGGAACTTACTAGAAGCTTCCTTGAAGGTGCGTGGCATGTGCGTGAAGTAGGCAAGCAGGGGTTTCCTGGTAGGGGTGTACTCTGGGAAACCTGGTAGTGGGTCTCCCATACTAATGAGCTTGCAAACAGAAATGTGGTTTTTGCAATGTGATTTGCTTTTGTTTTTGTTTTTTACTTAAAAACCCTAACAAAATCCTTCTCTTGCCATGCCCAAGCTCTCCTCTGGCCCTTTGAGGAGGGCTCTGACCTTCCGTGAGGAGCAAACACAGGTCCCAGGGGCGCAGGGGTTGGGCTGGGCTAGGGCGCGGCGGGCCGACGGGGCGGGCAGGGGGCGGCCGCTGTGACCTCGGGCGTCGCAAACGCCGCCCTCGGCGGCCAGCGATAGGTCCCACCCCACCTAAGCGACCTGCGGCCGGGGGCGGGGAGACGCGGCGGGGACGCGCAGCGCGGTGGTTGAGCGGCCGGCGGCGGAGAGATGTGGGCGCCGAGCGGCCCGGGGCCCTCGGGCTGGGACCGCCGCAGGGTGGGCGCGCGGCTGCGGGCGGCACTGGCTGGGCTGCAGGAGCTTCAGGGGCTGCGCGCCACGCAGCAGGCGCGCGTGCGGGGAGCCCTAGGCCTGCACCCCGAGCCCGGGCCCCGCGGCCAGGAGCTGAGGCTGGAGGCGGCGCTGGCCGCGCTGCGGGAGCAGCTGGTAAGGAGCAAGAGGGACCCGAGGGGACGTTCTGGGGAGCGACCCGGGCGCAGCTGCGTGGAGTGAGCAAGTGGAGAGGCCCGATGCGCGGTTGCGTGGGGAGCTCGCAGAGGGGTGCGTGCTGGGAGGCCGCGCGCGGAATCTGATGTTGAATGCGCATCGCCTCTGCGGCTGGCACAGCCATGGTGCGGAGGCGCGCAAATCGGGCTAGGCGCAGTGTTGTGGTGGGGATGCGTGGACCCTGGCCTCGCCCCTGGAGCACAGAGTGACCGTGTACAGCAGGGCACTCTACTGGGTTCGCTTGCATCACGGGGGAGTCTTGCAGGCTGAGGACGTCTCCAAGATTGCGTACCATCTCATCCGTTTAAAAACAAAAACAAAACGAGTGTCCTTCAGTCCGAGGAACGTGGAGAGAGGATCGGAGGTGTTTTCTCGGCTACCCTCACCTATTGAGTTCTTCTCTGTAGACCACAGGGGGCCTCCCAGGAGTAGAATTACAATCGGCTTCTAGAAACAGCTCAAGATGTTTTGTAGTACTGCAGTGTTGTGTTTTCGTTATTGGGTTTTGCTGTTGTTGTTATTGTTTGTTTGTGGAGACAGGACTTATCTGTCCTGGAGCTTGCTTTGTAGACCAGGCTGATCTCGAACTCAGAGAGACTCCTGCCTCTGCCTCCCAAATGCTGGGATTAAAGGCCTGCGCCACCATCACCCAAGGCTGCAGTGTTTTTAAAAGAACAAAAATATTGCTCTCGGGTGATGGAGTCGCATCCGTAGCTCTTAAGTGGGACTTTTTTTTTTCACAGTGAAATTTGGGTCTGCCCTGTTGAGAGGTTGCCTCTTCTTAAAAGTCCAAGAGATGGAACTGTTGTGATCCAATCAGTTTTAGCTCAGAAGTGTGTTTGTTGGGCTTGTGATTAAGGAATCAGGAAGTCCAGCATCTGAGTCACTCCCCAGGACACCTGGAAACCTCCCTGGGTATCAGAGAGAGCTGGAGAGCTGGCCTAGGGTGGAACCCAGCTGGCAGCCTCCTCCAGTCTGTGAGACGCTCAGCTGCCCAGAGAGGGACATGGCTGGTGTGGGCTGGACTCTGCAAGGACCAAGGCACTGCAACAGGTGCCTGTCGTCTGAAGAGGCTACGCACTCCGCTTTACGTGACCCCAACCAGGCAGGCTCACTGACGGTTTACACGCATGACCCGTTCCCTCAAGGTTGATGATTAACTCCACTAAAGCAATACACAGACCCAATCCGTGAGCCCTCACGCGGCAGTCACCAGCAGCCTTTGGAGACATCAAACGAGCTTTTTTTTTTTTGGTCGCCACCCCTCAGCCCCCACCCCAAGACTGGAAGGAGCATGCGGGCTTTGTCATGAAACTTGGTTGGGCGGGGGGGGGGATAGTTGCATTTATGTGGCTTTCTCTAATCAGCACTTAGCACTTCAGCATTTTTTTCTTATGGGCTGGGGGGAGGGGGTTAGGAGCAATGGTACTTGTTAGATAAGGAAAAATAATGGAAGGGCTGCAGTTCAGTCCAGATAAACCCTGCGGGGACCAGATAGAGCTCACAGCCCTCCCGCTGTGTCACCTGGCCCCGGTCAGCACTCAGGTGTGAAGCTGGAGTCCTCTCTTCAGTTGTCCTGAGGGGATTCTCCAGTAAAGGTAGGTTTAGCATTTCTAGGGATTTAGTGCGCTCATCAGATGGGCTACACACCCTGCTAATTGCTGTGTCAAAACTCACAAAGGGAACTCAGCAGTAGCTGCTTAGGGGAGTTTTGTTCTTGAGATAAATCAGTGACTCTTAATGGCTAAAAGTGGCTTCGGTTCTTATTCCAGACTTCTTTGCTGATGAGATCACAAGCCCTCTGACCCTTGACCCCACAGTCTGCCTCAGGTGGCCCTTTAGGCTGCCCCCATTGTGTGCTTTCACGGGGTCTAGTCTCCGGAAGCCGCTGCTAGCATTTCGACACTCCCACTGAAGTGAGCCTCAGTAGGATAGCACCCAGTGGGCTGGCTGGCACCATGCCAAGAAGCTGTAACATTGTCTCTTGCTTCAACTTCATCAAGAGGAGGTGTCCCTGGGACGGGAGATGACACAGACCCATATGAGGATCACCCTGCAGGGACTGACGGGTCATGACTTGTCCTAAAAATGACAACATACAGCCATCCCTCTCCCTGGCTGGCTCAGGCGGTGATGCCCCAAGGGAAGCCACACGGATTCCGTAACCGACAATGGTGTTTTCTTTGGCCCCATCAGCTTGCTTTATGAACACACAGGGGGCAGATGGAGGTCAGATGAGAGACAGACAGAGGTCAGGCAGGAGTAAGGCCCTGACCCTGGCAGGACTTCTCCAGGGTCACTGCCAAATCTCATGCATGAGCCAATGCCCAGCTCCCCTCCCTCACTGAGTGAAGTCTACAGAAGGCCATCAAGGGGGTAATTCATGCATAAAGCATTTCCTTTGCTCACTGTTGGCATCCAAGGAGAGGAAGGAAGTGTCTTAGATATCATCTCTACATCTTGAACTTTTTAATCCCTCAAATATACCACCGAGATTTTTTTTAATGCTGGGTGGGGTTGCAGACTGAAAGTGTCCATGGAGGAAGGTACAACAAATTCAGATCAAGTTCTGTGCAACGGTGAGACCCTTTAAAGGAGCCACCCAGCTACGTTTTAGTGGCGCCATGGAATGGCAGGTCTCGGACGTTTGGTGGCAGGTTACCAGACGTAGCTGGTGAAGGTACAAAGTCCTATACCTACACCTATCTCAGAGCATTACATAGCGAGAGCCCAGGATCTGCAGGTGTGCTGGGTGACTACATCATCGGGACTGTGGTTAGTTCTCCCTTGCACCAGACGTCTGACCCCTGACCCAAGCACCCTGGAACATCTCGAAATCATCATGGGGCTTGCACACCACAGACGGGCTTGGTTCTGGGAAGGGTTCCACAGTCTGACTTTGTAGCCAGCTGTGCTCTGTGTTGGTCATGGTGGATACAAAGTCAACGTGTTGGTCACGGTGGATACTGGATACAAAGTCAGCGATGAAAACTTGAACTAAGGGTAGAGGGAATGCTAATTAGGGTGGTATCAGTCCTGATGGTGAACTCACAGCAGAACCCCGAGCCCCCCCTAAGAACCCTGGGGTCTTGAGACCTCAGCCATTGACTAGAGACTAGCGGCTGAGGCTAGCTAGCTAGGCAGGTACTATCTGCAGAGCAGCTGGTCCCAATGTGCCCATAGGGACCAACCTTTGGAAGAGGACAACCAGCCAGGGCTCTGAAGAAGGGAAGTGGGTTAGATAGATGCTATTGCTCACTAGACTGGCCCTGGCAGAGGGACCTGGTATCTGTGGGCCCCGTGGCTTTAAGGTAGGGCAAAGGAAAAAAGCATCTTTTACAGGGAAAATCCCTGCCAGCCCTTTGAGTCTAGGGTCCGTTTCTGAGTTTGTAGAAAGGGCATGACCACAGTCTCTACCCCGATCGTCTCTGGGAAGGAGTTTGTGATGGAAGCGGGTCCTGGGAAATTTTGTTCAGCTGTGACAAGGGTGGTGATAGGAGATACTGTTGCTCTCGGATACTCTTGACCCTTCAGACCCCATGTTAGTAGAATTAGGATCAGAGTATAGGATGTAGCAGTCCTAAAAAAAAACAAAAACAAAAACAAAACAGCTGGGCCACCCACCCATCCTCAAACAGGCGAGTCCAAATGAAAAGGTGAAAAAGGACTTTATTCAGTGGGTCCACGTTGAGAAGAGGGACCAAAAAAAAATAAGGTTCAGTGACCACCCCACCCCACCTCGTTCATCTTTAGGGTATTGACCTGAGCCCCCTTTTAGATTTGAAAAGAAGAAAGAGGCGGGCAATCCTGGCCAGGTTGTATGTGATTCTGCCTTTCCTTGTCTCGGGTGCCTGGAAGGGGCTGGGGGAATTTCTTCTCGGGAGACAAGCTTTGGCTCCAGCTGGGTCCTGGCTCCAGTGCTGTCTTTCTCCTGGGATGAGATTCTAGGGGAAGTTCCAATGTCATGGTGCCCATTGTCTCTTCAGAATGTCTTCTTTCCTGTGGGGGCAAGTGCACCCCGAGGTGGCTCTCACCCCCAGTCAGCTCCTGGTGGGGAAGAGCTGAGCCGGCTGAGATTGGCGGGTCAGCATCCCACTCAGCACACCCTCGCCCTTTGGGAAAGTCCTCGCTCTGATGAACAGGAAGTCATTACTGCCGGCATCTTGCTGCTGGTGATTTCTGAGGTAGTTCCTGCGCTAGAAAAGTAACGGTCGCGTTCTGCCACCTATGAGCCTTGCCCCTGGGTTTTACTTATTAATTAAATAAAAAATAATAATGTATGCAGCCAACCTGGAAATCAGGAAATGCACGGCTGAAAGAAAGAAGTTTTTACCAAACACTCAGTACTGATTAGTTTGTGCGTGTGTACACAGAACTGTGCACGTGTGCATGCGAGTGTGTGTGGAGTGTGTGTGTGTGTGTGTGGCTATACACCTGGGAACTAAGGCATGAAGACCCAGAGCTTGCACATAAGGTTCTCCAGGGCAGACTTTATCCAAGTGAAGCTGGGGTTTCCTGTCAAACTGCACACGCCCAGGTACCATAGGCCATAGAGATGCTGTGTGAAGGACTATCTGCTAGACTTTGTGTGTGTGTGTGTGTGTGTGTGTGTGTGTGTGTGTGTGTGTGCGTGCGCGCGCACCCGCTCATGTTTACACGAGTGCGCCAAAGGATGACAAATTCTTTCTGTCCATTCCAGCAGACCCAGGGAGTTGCTTCCCGTGAGTTCACATGAGTTGGAAGTTTGGGGTATTCCTGGTGTCCACATGGCCCTGTTTCAACCTTGGACCTTGGTTTAGATCTCTGTATCCACATCAGGTTTTATCCTTTCTCCTTCCCTCCCTCCCAGTCACGGTTAAGGCGGCAGGATGCTGGCTTGAAGACTCACCTGGACCAGCTGGACCAGCAGATAAGCGAACTTCAGCTGGATGTAAGCAGGTCATCCTGCGAGGCCCTGGACAGTGACAGCAGGCCCAGCTCAGGTATGGCTGATAGTGACTGGACACTGGAGAGCCAGGCTGCCTGGACCTCACCCTCCAGGAAAAGTGCAGCCTTCACTGTCACCCTTCACAGACGCTATCTGACTTAGATCTGACACTTGGGAGGATCCTTGAGCAGCCTGGCAAGTGTATGTGACTAGAGACATGAAGCTTTAACTAAACATTCTGAGAGAAGAAATACACATATAGTAAATATATAAAGTTTACATATAGTACAGCTTACATGCATGTAAACTACCAGTTTGTGTATTAAATTAAACACTCAGGGAGCTCCCAGTTTTACTGGATGGTCATGGACCTTGCGAGTGACTGTTTTATAGGCCACCTACATCGTTTACATCCATATAGCTTGCCAGCCAGTCACACAAGGATGCCCCTCCCTTCCCGTGCTCCATCCCCGAGTTCACAGAGTTCATTGTTGGAAGCCTGCTGGCTTGTGTGGCTATGGTCGTCACTTTTGCTTCCTCGACGTTCTCCAGGTGACACTTGGGAACAGGGACCCCTGTGCCTGGGCCACAGTGGTTACAAGGTATCTGTGACAGCGAACCTGGGGTGTTTGGAGTCCTCTTGCAGTCCAGCCCTGGATGTGCTAGGCTGCGGACTGAGGACTCCCAAGAAGGGAATGCCCCCATGCAGTTGCATGTTGAAGAAAGGGGTTGCCTGAAGCAAAGAAAGGTCTCCTTCTGAGTATAGCTAGAGGGTTCAGGTAAGGTAGGGCCTGTTGTTCCCGTAGCCACTCACAAGATCACCAGCAAGAATCTGGAACATTCTTCTCGTGGGCCTGTCCCCACAGGCATAGTTATCAGCCTCACACCTCTCCCTATGCCAGTAAAAGCAAGAAAAAAAAAAAAAAGGGACCTGCCGGGCCTGGTGGCGCAAGCCTCCAAAACAATACAGAGAAACCCTGTCTCGTAAAACCAAAAAAAAAAAAAAAAGCTAGCGCCCACCGACCAGCGGTGCACTGACTGCTGTGTCTGCTCTGCTCTGACCAGGCTTCTACGAGCTGAGCGATGCCGGTTCCTGCTCCCTGTCTACCTCGTGTGCGTCTGTCTGTAGCGACCGCCTCTCCCCCTCACTGGGCAGCTGGCTGCCTGTGTTCCAGCACTCTAAGTCCAGGTCGGGCATAGGGGACTGGCGACCCCGCTCTGCTGATGAGACCACTGTCCCTGCGTGGAGCTCACAGCCCAGCAGAGAAGATAGCAGGCTCCTGCATGGTGCAGAAGACACAGGACTGCCAAGGGGCGTGTTCCGGCCCAGACCGGTGTCCACGGGTAAGTGAGGGAGGCAGGAGAGGGCGAGACCACTGTCATTTGGGTGAGAGGGACAGCAGACGATAGAGCCTGGGCCCACTGGGGAAGAGGCTGATCCCTCACATGGAACGTGTGTGTGTGTGTGTGTGTGTGTTTCTTGCTTTAAATGGACACCAAGAAAGCATTCCAATCATTTGATGTGCCACATTTAAAGTGAGAATCAAGGCACAAACACCCTTCATGCTTTCCGGAGAGAAAAAGATGCCACTAGGGATTTACCCCCCCACACCTGGACTCTGTGCCAGTCTTGGTCTCTCTGAGGTGGGGGGTCCCCAGTTTCACTCTCTGGGTTGTGAAACTGCAGCAGTACCTACTGTGACTGTCCCATGTGTGGCTGTAGACATTTTTTCTTCCCAGAGAGCCTCCAAGCCGTGGTTAAGTGGGGGCACCAAGATGACAGACACCTCCTGCTCGCTCTCCCTGAAGAGCAGGGACCGGTACCCCCCAAGAGTGGAGCCTCCACGAGCACCTGTGGGGACAGGGACTTGACATCTGTGTTGACGCGCTTTTTTTCCATGGTCTCATTCCCAGGCGATCTTGAGAGAGTCCTCCCAGATGACCTGGGGCTGCAGAGAGCTGGTACTAATGCTGCATCCTCATCCCTCCTCTGCCAGGGGATAGAGGTCTCCGCCCACGCACTGGACCCCAAGTACCAGCGTGATCTGGTGGCCAGGGGTGGCCAGGAGGTGTACCCATATCCCAGCCCCCTACATGCAGTGGCCCTGCAGAGCCCCCTCTTTGCCCTGCCTAAGGAGGCCACGCACCTTGACACCTATCCACCGCCCCCCCAGGAGCCTTCTTTGGTCCCCGTGGATCAGAACAAGACTCAGACTGGGCCGATCCGTGAGCTGGGCTCGGCCGAAGCCTACATCCACCGGCTCTTGCGTCTGCGGGGCCAAGAACCCCCTCTGAGAGATGTGTTGCAGGAGCAGGGGAGTGACACGGCCCCTTTTCCGCGGAAGCCCTGTGGCCAGAGCTCAGACAGTGGAGGCCAGCGCGAGAAGCTGGGCTGTGGGATGGACAGGGGAAGAATGAAACCCAGTAGGGACGCCGCCAAGGACAGCCTCAAGCCACAGGGTCCCGTGTCCCTTGTGGATACCGAGCCCCTCAGCAGCCCCCTAGAGGAGGAAACCACACCTTGGAGTCCCTGTGTCAGTGGAAATAGTACCGTAGGTTCCTCTCTCTGCTCCCAGGCCCAGCGGCCCCACAATGACTATGACCAAAGACAAGTCCTGTCACCAACCAGGGTGCTGGGCCCTGAGAGCCCCCCTCTGGCCCCAGGACCCTTTGCTTACCCTTCCTGCACCACTGGTGAAACCTCCCCAATGAGGCTGTCCACGGGCTCTCCTCCCCAAAGCAAAGCCATGAAGCTCAGAGGAAGACTCAGCGACAAAGTGCCAAGGCTGGGGAAGCAGCTTCCACCACAGGCCGAGAGGCAGCGGGGCATCCATGCTGAGGTGCCTCCAGAGTGGGACCCCTCATCCAGGCCCCAGCGGGGAGGACTCGGCAGGGGGCCCGCACTGGCCAGAGAGCCTTCTGGACGCTCTTGCTCTGAGTCTACCCTCTACCCTGTGCCCTTCTTCGTCCCCCTACCGGTGGCCCCGCAGGAAGGTTACCCAGCATCCCAAGCTGTGTTCCCCATGGAGGCATCCGCCCTCGCCTCAGCAGCCAGGAGGAAGCAGCGCAGGTGGCAGTCTACTATGGAGATCTCGGCCAAAGCCCGCCTGGTCGGCCTTCCTGGGCCCAGCCTAGGGCTCCCTAGGTCCCCGGCGGGGAGAGCCTGTGGTCCCCCGGCCCAGAGCAGGCCCGCGCTTGCCCGTCAGGACGCCTGTTCGAGGAGTGAGTCAGAACCCTCGGAGCACTCGGCTGAGTGCGCCTCCCTATTTCACTCCACCATTGCCGAAACGAGCGAGGACGAGGAGGCCAGTGACCACACTGCTAACCGCTTCGGGGACGAGTCCAGTAGCAACGATTCAGAAGGCTGTGTCCAGAATGGCCGCGGCGGCCCGGGAAGAAGAGGTGCAGAGGCTGGGCAGGGGGAGCGGGCTTGGCCTCGGGTGCCCCTCCAGCAGTCTCCACGGGCCCCAGGAAGCACCAGGCCATCCCTGCCCCCTGTGCCCAAACTGTGCCGCATCAAGGCCTCCAAGGCCCTGAAGAAGAAGATCCGCAGGTTCCAGCCAGCAGCCCTGAAGGTCATGACCTTGGTGTAAATGCCAGTGTTTCAGGACCAGCCTAGGAACCCCAGAAAGTGCAAGACCCTTCCATAACCCGTGACGAGCGAGCAGACTGAGGGGCGGGTGCCGCATGGTTGGCTTGCTTAGGTTTCTCACTCACCCTCCCCGTGGTTGTGAGCCCAGTCATCTTCATCGCATGATCCCTGTTGTCCGCTTTGTTCTCCTTCATGCTCTGGCTGGTGTGTGGGGCGAGGCCTCCAGTAAGGCGTTCCTTCCCAGAGTCGTCTGAGATGCGTCCCACCCTGTTGGGGAAACCAGATTGGAATTCAGCTCCCTATTACACTCATATGAATAAACACACGCACGATGCTGGTATAGTACCAAATAAAAGAACATCATTTCCTTTCTCCTGCAGCCACTGTCCTGTCGTCTGTCTGTCTGTCTGTCTGTCTTCCTAACGTGGGTTGCCTGCTGGCCTGAGGGGGGAATGGCATTCTAGGAGTAAAGCTCAAACTCTGGACTCAGCACAGGTGAATTGAGTAGGAAACTTTTTTTTTTTTTTGGAAGAAGGAGTTTTTCACATTTCCTTGTCTTTTGTTAAGAAAGGCTCTGTCTGCTTTTCAAGGATAAGAATGATGGGTGTTTAGCTCAGCTGTTGTTGCGTGCTCAGCCTTCTTCTGGATCCATCACACGTTGCCCAAGAGGGGACAAGGGGGTGCATTTCACAGGGTGCCTGCCCTTCCCCTGCACACCTCAGGAGACAGGAGGGACTGGCTGAAAACACTGTTGCAGTGAGTGTCACACTCCTGTGTGGAGAGCTATATTACAGGGCGAAGGCTGGAGAGGCTTGCAAATTGATTAAGGTTTAGAACAAAGACATCAGCCTCCCTTGGGAAAGGGGGGGAGAGAATGAGTGTGAACACTTTGGGGAGGGAGGAGGGAGTGGTTGAAGCTGAAGAGAGCAAGAGACTTTTCTGTGGGGGAACCACTCCAGACTGCAAACATTCCGAAGGGGCCAAGGGAACAAATCCCTGAAAAGCAAACATTCCGGTATCTGCCTTGAACCCCTGCCTGCGCTTCCTAGAACTACTCAGGCCAGGGCATCTGTCTCCCTTGTACTTTCCTGGAGTTTAAAGGAACATTAAAATCCAGTCATGGCCCCGGAGTTTTATGGTAGAAGATATTTTTCCCATCTCTGCAACAAAATGCCTAGCAAACTTAAGGAAGGGAGGTATGTTTTGCCTCACAGCCTCAGAGGGCTCAATTGATCACACGGAGAAGGCATGGCAAGGCAGTTCAGTTCACATCATGACGGGCCAGGAAGCAGAGAGCATGATGGGATGTTGGCCAGAGATAACGGACTCCCTAGGACCAGTCTCCAGTGACCCGATTCCCCAGCCAGGACCCACCTCCAAAAGTTTTTCCAAATCCGCCACCAGCAGGGGATTGATTCAAGTGTTTAAAATGCCAGCTTGTGAGTAGTATTTCAGATTCAAACCATAGCATTCTACTGGGACCCTGAAAGGCTACGACTTTTTCACAAAGCACGTTCAGTCCACCTCCAAGCGTCCCCACAGCCTTAACGGTTCCAGCATCGTTCAAATGTCTTTGAGTCCAGAGATTCAAGGTAATCGCTTAGCTGAGGGCCCCAGAAAAATAAGGTAGCTATATACTTCTAAGATAACACTGGATATGTTGCTAAAATGCTCTGGTCCATTGCCTCGTTGTTCCTGAGGTGAGGGGAAGCAGACCCTTCACTTATGAGGGCTACTCAGAGTCCTGACGAAACTGGGCTCCTGACCAGACCCAAGCCTACATCCTTACTGCTGCTTCTGGTGAGATGGCATAAACTCCATGCCATGTTCATTATCTTGTCGGACACCTTCTCTCTCTCTGAAACTGTGCAAGTGGGGGGGTTCAAATGTGCCCCCATGATATAGATGCATTTGGGCCTGTCTACCCAGCTGTGTAAGCTAACCATGAAAGCCATGCAGCTACAAAATCTGTGCTCAGGGCTCTCTCTCCCCCACCCCACCCCTCTCTCTCTTCCTCCCCTCCCCTCCCTCTCCCTCTCTTCCTCCCCTTTCCCCTCCTCCCTCTATTTGTGTGTACCCCCTTTCTCTCTTTCCTTGACTTTCTATCTCAATGCAAAAATTAAAAGGTCTCCAGTGAGGCTTGTGAAAAGACATCAGGAAACCATTCAGAAACCAGAGCAGCCAGGACACAAATGAGGCTCAACAACTCCTAAACAGTGCTGGCCCAGGGACCTCACTCCTAAAGAGCAGTTGAGGACCCTGGGTGGAAAATGACCAATACGATTCCTGCTGAAGGCAGACCTGGATCCCAGGGTCAGAGTCTGGTGGGTGGTGGAGCCTGAGGCTCTGGAGGGCAGGCTCTTGGTAAGGTTGCCGAGGCAGGGCTCCGGGTTTCCCTGATGTCACACAAAGACCAGTTGCTTTCCTCAAGCCCACCTCAGCCTGCCTGTTGAAGGCAGACCCATATTTTGGTTTTTCCAGAGGTCAGAAACTCATTCCATGCCTTCTGCGTTCATTGGCTCTGAGGCAGGGCTGGGATTGGGTGAGCACAGTGCAGGAGATTCCACCAGGGTCCCCTGGGCCTTTGGAGCCCCATTCTGTAACCAGGAGAGCCACACGGCTTGGAGAAGACCAAGGATAGCTTCCCCACCAGAAGAAATCTCTTCCTTTAGAAAGGAAGGCAACGGGAGCTAGGGGACTCAGAATGAGGGGCAGGTGGATAATACCAGAATGAGCCGGCCTTCGCTCCCTAGTGCTTTCCCCAGGGCGAGGAGTCCCCCAAGTGTTCAGGTCATACTACAGGGTAAGGATGAGGAGGCAGTCAGGACACACAGACAACGGGGAGCATCATGGCACACAGAGGCAGAGCCTGGTTGACACCAGTAATGCAAAGCCACTTCGAGGCAGTCACAGACGGTGGCTGCAGAGCTCACACAAAAGAGGATTGACCAGCACGTTCCATAACCAATCACTCGGCTTCCTCGGGCGGAATACACTGTGCTCACCTGAAAGGGAATAAGGACAGTTTGTTTATTGTGTAGCCAAACACTGAGCATTGCTCTGGGGCAGATTCGGGTTTACCCAGGACACCATGTTCTAACGCAGCAACAGTTTCATGCAGTTTTTCTATCAGCGGAACAAAGAAAGCCACACATCAAGGCACTTTTTAAATATCTTGATGGTGACGTCAGTAGCCGGGTTAAAACAAAATGCCTCTCCTGTGACCTCAGATATCACCTGATGGCATTCTTAGCTTTGGGGTTGATGAAATCTTGAGGGATCTGTTTGTACATTCCAAAAGGATTTACCTAATAGTCACAAAGATGGCAGGCCACATAGAGAGGTGGGCAATAAATGGCTATTTGGGGGACTTAAGATAACTCAAGATAATTTGTCCCCCGGCCTGTAAATTCCACCTCTCCACGGTCACTGACGTTCTAATCAGTCTGTTAGCCTTGCAGAATGTTTAAGGTAGGTGTGGCTTTTTTTCTCTCTCTGAGAGTGTTAGCCCACATATTTTAGGGTAATTTTCTTTCAGACAGACATATCTATTCCAGGGAAGGTAAGACCAAGAGCCCTCTGGGCAGCGTGGCTGTGACACGGAGACGCACAGGCGCCTTGGTTGCATCGGCTAATGGATGAGCACTACCCAAAAGGGTGCAGGGCAGTCCAGCTGAGGCTTCCACCACGGGCTTTTTAGAAACCTTTTATAAGTTCTGTTGTGTTTGAATTCAAACACTATCTTAGAGAAAAGAGAGTCAGACTAGTGTAAGAATTAAATATACTTTATTGTAATTAGTAAATAATTTAAATACAATGTCAGTGAAAGTACCCGCCCATCTTTAATGAATTGTAACATTTAACAAAATAGGCTTAGGCCAGGTGTGGCGAGGAAGGCCCTTGGGAGGCAGAGGCAGGAGGATCTCTGTAAGAGTTCATGGCCAGCCTGATCTACATAGCGGAGTGCTGGGGTGGCCGGGGCTCTTGCAAAGAGACCCTGTCTCAAAGCAAAGCAAAAGACAAAAGGAAGAAAAGAAAACGGGCTGTGTCGCACGTGCGGATTGGACGTGTGGGTGTCCTCTGAGGGGACTGTCTGCAGCCCCAGTGCAGGGTGTAAGCAGGCGCCTTTGGACATAGGGCACAGTGGCTGCCAGGAGACACTTGGAGCTTGAAGGGAAAACATGGCCTCCCTAGCAGAGCAGCTCTGTCCCACTGCAGAGGGCAACCCTTCACTATCTGTTAGCCAGGGAAAGATGTTATTCTAACAAAACAGACTTTACAGGGCTGGGGTGAGATACCTCCTGTAGGTACAGGGCTCAGACACACCCATGAAGGTAGATGAATATCAAACTACAGTTCCATCACGGGAAATGGGTTGCATCCCGTGAGACTAGCAAGGTATATGCCCCGTGGGTACTGATGGCCACACTGGCTTTTGAGGGAAGGGCATACTGCTCCGTGATCCTGCAACGCTGGGGTGGGCTGGAGAGAACCTTGGGTAGTGATATCCTGCTCCTCATAGAAAAGTTTGGCCTGCAGACCTGGCCTCCCTCTGTTGCCTAAGAGCAGAGCCAAGAGACAAAGTAAAAGCAGGTGATCCCACGCCGGTGATGACCCAGAGCGAAGAAGTAGCAGCTGGAAGAAACAGATGAACGGGAAATAGCCATTATCTGCTATACTGTGAGAACACCTGTGACCTTCTTCTTCTTCTTCTTCTTCTTCTTCTTCTTCTTCTTCTTCTTCTTATTATTATTATTATTATTATTATTATTATTATTATTATTAGTCTTTCTTTTTAAATTTAAATTTAAATTAGAAACAAGGTTACTTCACATGTCAATCCCAGGTCCCTCTCCCTTTCCCTCCCCTCCTCCCACGCCCTCCCACCAAACCCCCCAATGCCTCCTCATTTCCCCAGGGAGGGTGAGGCCCTCCATGGGAGTGTCCATAGTCTGTCATTTCATCCAGGGCAGGGCCTAGACTCTCCCCCAAGAGTCCAGGGTGAGAGTGCATCTCTCATTGTTGGGTGGGAGTCCAAAGTTCAATTGTATGCCAGGGATAAATACTGATCTACTACCCAAGGCCCCATAGATTACCTAGGCCTCCTCACTGACACCCACATTCAGGGGGTCTGGATCAGTCCCATGCTGGATTCCCAGCCATCAGTCTGGGATTCAAGAGCTAACCCTTGTCAGGTCAGCTGTTTCTGGGGGTTAACCCAGCCCAGTCTTAACCCCTTTGCTCATCAGTCCTCCCTCTCTGTCACTGGGTTCCTTGAGTTCAGCTCAGTGTTTAGCCGTGGGAGTCTGTCTCTGCTTCCATCAGCCATTGGATGAAGGTTCTGTTCCCCAGACTCTCTGGCTGTGGGATTGTAGGCTA